CACAGCGGTGCGGCCCTCACGGCGCGCAGCCGCGCCCGCCCCGAAGCCGCAGCGCGCGGGGCTCCTCACCTGCCTCGTAGAGGTACTTGGGCAGCTGCGTGCTCTTCCCGCTGCCCGTCTCGCCGGTGACGATGAGGAATGGCTGCTCGCTGACGGCTCGCACCAAGGCCCGCCGGTGGCGGCGGATGGGCAGCGCGCCGCCCTCCATGGCGGGGGGGGGCCGCGCCTTAGGGACCCCCGGCCCGCGCGGCCGCCCTGTCAGGTAAGCCCCGCCCTCCGCTTACGTCACGCCACGCGGAAGCGGCGCCGATGACACGCGCCTGCGCAAGCCACGCCCCTCCGCACAGAGCCACGCCCCGTGGTTTATCCACGTGACCCCTTTTCAGGGCGGTCCCGCATTGCGGCACGCCCCGGTTATCGAGCAGGGGGCTTTGATTTCCTCCTCAAGTTGCCACGTTCCCCCTTCTAGGGCTGAAGCGCGGTGACCAGCGTGGGCAGAGCTCTCCTGAGCCGGGACGTGACATCAACGCACCCGCAGCACTTCCCCTTCAGGGCACGCAATGCCGCTGACGCGCGGTGCGGTCGGCACGCAGACCGAGAAGCCCGCAGCAATCCAGCAGAGCTCACTGCAGCACGGCTGTGCCGCCCGGGCCTGCTGCCCAGCACCGAGCTCACACGCACAGCCTGAAGGTGGCACGCCGTGTACGCGCAATGCACCGAGCGCGCAAACCCGCTCCCAGCAGCCCCAGCTTGCGGTGCTGGTGCTGCGGGAGGGAGGCTCACCTGCAGGGAAATCCTCACCTCGGCCCCACCACCGCTACAGCCGGGTCCTGAAGCCTGTAAATATTTGTTTCTGCTGAAGGCACGTGTTGCTAAAGCCTCTGTTTGTTCGGTCTGTGCAGCGCCTGGCATGGTAACGTGGCTGCTTTCCTGCCCTTACCAGTGCAGCTAGAGAGGAGGAATTGCAGTAGCTGCTCCAGCACAGCACTGCAGATACAGAAGATATCCGGGGTTTTGCTATTTTGAAACAATTTGTGTGCAACAAATAGACAGAAAGACAAATCCCTCCCCTGAAGCTCCACCAGCTGTCCACCCCCTGCAGGAATAATCATTTCTGTGCAGATCCCAGCTTTGGACAACATGAAGGTGTTCTGCTGGGAAAAATCTGCTGTTCTGGATTGTGGCAGTCACATAGCAGAGACCTGAAGTGATTTCACTGCTGCTCTGTGAGCCCTTGAAGCCACCAGCCCAGCAGTGAGGTTGCTGTAACTGATCTGCAGCCCTGAGTGCTGAAGAAGATGCAGACTGTGCTGGCACACATTGGGGTACAAAAGGTTTTTCAGTTTTCTTTTTCATCCTCCTAATCTATAGCAGGTTTGGGTCTAACCAGCCTCCCAGCAGCCCTGAATTTTGTCCTCCTGCAATAGAGTGCCATTCATTTAAGGATTTCCCTCTGTCTAATAAGCATTAATGAATCACACTCTACGGTTCCCTTGTGATGTTATCTCAGTTTCACAGATGGGGAAAACAGAAACAAATTAAGGGGGCTGAACACACCCACAAATCAAAGGCAGAGCTGGGAGAGGAACCCAGTAATCCCAGCACAATGCCCTGCTCTGACAACTGTAAAAATGCATCTCTACCCACACGGCTGCTCTGCCTGCCACTGTGCTACATGGGGAAACTCAGTGACTTTCAGGCTAGAAAAAAAAAGGCTGGGATTGCTTTTGTCCTAAGGTTGAGCTTTGTGCAGGGTTGCAAATTACACATAGAGGTGATAAAGGGCTGTAGCTCTGCCAGCTTCCTGTGCTCAGTTACTCCCGAGGATCTTTTTTCCTTCCTGAGCAGAGGATATCTCTTCTCTTCTGATGAGTTATAGTGGGATATAGGAAATACTCTAATCCCACAACTCGTTCATTACTCTTCCCAGAGGAAAGGCCTGAGTTCTTGTCCCGGACAGAGCGTGCCACGATGAACGTGGTGTCCCTTGATGCACGTGAAGGAAAGTACAGCTATTAATTACACTGAATGAGTGAAGGCAGATAATTGCTTTGTGCCTGGAATCTCAAAGTGGGGCCACTTTCTAGAAGAAAGATCCCAGAGCTTTAATTTCAGTGCCAACCAGCAGTGCAGCCCAAAGCTCCTGCCTGCCAACCAGCAGCTCTGTCAGCTGGATTTCTGTGGCACCAGCTCTGATTCCTTATCAGAAAAGTGTTATTCTTAAAACAGAGGATGAGCAGTGCAGAAAGAAGGCATCACCCTTTTTATATTTAAGCACAGTTCTGGAGCTGCAGCTGTTTCAGAGTGGCTGCATGGAAAGGCTGTGGGCGGTGGGATCCAGGCTCAGCTGTCTACATTCCCATATGGGGCAATGTCTGTCTGTCCATCCATCCTCACACAGTCGACAGGTGAGGGTGGAATGTTGGAAACGATCCTGCAGTGCTGCTGCCCTGAGATGTGCACCAATGGGTTTAATGAAGGGGCACCAAAAGAGGGGAATGGTCTCCCTAGAGCCTGAGCGTGTGCAGAACACCTGGGTTGTTCAAATGAGCACCAGCACTGACCTGGAATTGTCCTCTGAAACAGAATTACAAGAAAGCAGCCCTTGTATTTCATCTGTGACCATGTGGAGCAGAGGTTGCATTTTGCAGTTTTTGCTTGTCCCCATGTTTATCTCCTTGGTAACATCAGCTGTTGGTGACCAGGGCAGAGCCACATGTGTCCTGCTAATGGCCAAACAGAAAGAAACCCAAACCCCTGTCCCTGTGTCATCGTGACCCTGTTATACATGGACCTTAAATTGCAGTCCTTCATGAATTTTAATGGTCTTTTCTCTCCACTAATCTCACATCCAGCCCCAGCCTCTGCCCTGTGCAGCTTCGTCCCCCAGCAGTGCACTGTCCCCAGGCACTGCCCCCAAGCAGCTGCTCCAGCAGCGAGGCTCAGTGACACCAAAGTGCTTCTGCATGGGATGTTCCCACTCTGTGCCCCCACAGCAAAAGCAGCCAGGTGTATTTCAGCTGTGAGCTGACACTCAGCTGCACACCAGCACAGAAAGGTGCTGGGCAGCTGTATTCCAAATGGCATTCCCCCATGGAAGACAGGCAGCACCATGAGATACTCCAGCCTGACCTTCTGCAGAATGCAACCTGAGCCCGTGATCTCACTGCTAAATTTAGTGATTTGTTCAGCTGAAGTGATGCTTCCGAAGGGAAGGCAGTGGATGAGCAGGCAGAGCACGCAGCCCTGCCAGGAGCTGTGCTGTGCTTCCCATTAATGGCCACGGGTACAGCAAGTGCTGCACTTCCACACACTGCACAGAGAAGGGGATATTGCACAACCCTGGGCTATCATGCTCTACAAATAGGGGGAACTTTGATCTGTCCATGCATGCTAAGGGCCTTTCTGGCCTTGACTACAAATGTTCCCAGTTGCTGCTGACTTCACACTGTTTGCAGAACCAGCAGTCATGGTCTGAGCCTCACAGAGCAGATGTGGTGCTTTAACGATTCCAGCCCTGGGGATAATTTATGCCATACAAGCAGAAATGAACTTAAAACCTGATTTGACTTAAACAGCACCGATGGGCAGCGTGCAGCCTGAGCTAGGCCTGCAGCCCCCCCACCTGTTCCCTATTTCTACAATGGGCAAACTAAAACGTATGATGCAGATTGGTGCTGAGCTGTGAGGCTCCCAGTGGATTTCATCCATCTCTCTTTAGATGGAACACAAAGTTTGGATGCTTCCCCAGATGCTGAGTGCACCGTTGAATTCTTTAAGCGATGCTGTGTTTATAGAGCTGCAATTACTCCGTATCTGCCTTTGTTTGGAGATGAATCCTCATCCCTCCTCGCTAATGGCTTCTTCTGATCTCATCCAAAGTGGAGGATTTCCTGAGATGCTGAAAAAATGACTCACTGTGCCTTTATAGCTACGCCAGAGGTTTAATGGCTTCAGCAGCAGAACAGCGGCTGTGTCTGAAACAGATGTACCCAATGATGGCTGATGCTGTGCACTCTGCTTCACACATACGTACGTAGGAGCTAAGGGAGTTCTGGAATGGGTCTGCAGATGATGTAGGGTGATGGCCCCAGCTGCCATCACTTCCCATTCCGACCCCCACTGCTCCTGGAAAAGCACAGTGAAAATACAGCCTGGTTCACCTCGCATCCGGGAGAGTGAAATTTCATCTCTCTGTAACAGTTCTCTCACGAAAAGCCCATCAGACACGTCTGCTCCCTGTGTTAATAACTCACACAGAGATACGGATTTTTCCCTAATTAATTCTTTCCACCTCAAAATATGTTTCCCTCATCCAACCGTGAGTCGATCCTCTCATCCCATCTGCTTGGCAGAGCTGCATTTACTGTGCAATTAACATTTTGCAAATAAAACCAAAGAGAACAAACCATGGGGAGCTGCTGGGCTGTGAGTTGAATTCTACCTTTGCCAAGGCAGGAAGGAGCATCCCATGATCAGCACCAGCAGCACCCCATAACCAGCAGCAGGAGCATCCCATGATCAGCACCAGGAGCATCCCATAGCCAGCACCAGGAGCATCCTATAACCAGCATCAGGAGCATCTCATAACCAGCACCAGGAGCATCCCATGATCAGCACCCAGGGGTGAACCACAGGATGAGGCACCATGCATTGGTTGGGAAGCATCCAGGAGAAAAGCACTGAGCAGGAGCCTAAAAACATGAGCAGCACTGAGGCTGCAGGAGGACATGCTGTGTAGGGACACGCAGACTACCTTGGAGTATGTAATAATGGGCAAAAATAAAAGGGAGGAAAGATGCAAAATGTGAAACCAAACCCAACAAATGTCTGGCCTGGTTGGGACTCACAGGGCTGCAGTTCTTTGGAGATGTCACGCATCTCCTCCAGCCCCATCCCAATTAACTGCCTCCTAATGACTTTCCAAAACAGGAAGATTTCCTTAATTATATCACCACGTGCTAGACTGTAATCAAGAAATCAATCCCAGTGCTGCCTGGAGCGGGGCCTGTGCTTGGCAGCACAGCAGCTGCAGCCACCTCCAAATAGACCCTGGCTTTGCAGGGATGCAGCAGCACACGGACAGGGGATCACAGAAAGGGTTTTCCATTCCAGGTAAGGAAAGGAGGGATGCAACACTGCAGAAGGAACTCAGGAAGAGCACTGTGCTATTGTGCAGTGGAAGGGAAGGAGCTGATTGCTCAGGGCTGGGGAGCACGAGGACTGGCAGCGCTTATGAGCTGCTAAAAATAAAAAGCAGCTGCTAAAAATAATGAGTGATCGGGACCAAAAAAAATGCTAAGCCCCAGAGATCTCCCCAAACTCTGAGGATTAATTTTAATTTCCCTCTAATCCGGACAGAAATAGTGACGTGCATGGGCACGGCTCAGCCCGCACGTCCCCAGCACTGTGCTTTGGGCACAGCCTGAGCAGCACTGCTCCAATGCCCTGGAAAAGAAAATGAGGGATCAGAGAGAGCTGCTCAGGCTGTAGGCTTCCAAAGAGTCCAAGAATGTGTATAACCTGAGCATAGGCTTCGCAGTACGGAGCACAGCTGAATGTGAGTGAGGCTGAATTTGCCCTGGGTGTTTCCCAAAGCGCTGCACAGCAACTGCAGAATGCTGCTTTCCAGCAAAGAGGGAAGGCTGATTCTCTGCAGGGTAGATATGAGGGGAACGGCAGTGCAGTACCCTTTGTGTGGCTACAGGAGGTGGTTGGGCACCACTGAATGGAGGCAGCACTGCCACCTCACCAACTGAATTCGGATGTATGCAAATATATGCATGTAGGATTTGCATGCAGAGCTCGCCCGGGGCTTTGATGGCACATGGGCTGTTTGTGCAGCCTGAGCTCAGCAGTGCTTTGTGCTGAGAACCCCCAGACCGGGGCTGTAGGAAGCCCTGTTTGCCTCAAGGCTCCCTGCGGTGATGTTTGGGGGAGAAAAGCTGAAAAACCCATTCTAAGCCATTCCATCCAAGCCTGCTCTGAATGTGTTTTCAATTTGAGAGTGCCCAGAGAGGCAAGTAAATATTTTTCTGGAAGGGAAACGAGGTCATGTTTACCCCAAACGCCGTGTGCCAAAGCGCTGCCTGGTGTTTATGCAGCTGGAGAAGCAGTGCTGGCAGTGCAGAGCCGTGCAGGAAAGAATGCAGCACTGATACCCATAGGAAGTGCTGTGGCTTTCCAGCTGCGATGCACAAACTGTGCTGCCTGGGGAAGCCGCAGGGCTCGGCCAAAGGGCTGCTGTTACACCGCGCTTCTGTGGATGCTTCGCCAGGGTGAGATGGAGAAAAAGATTTAAAAGGTTGAAAGCAGGCAGGCCTGCAGATAACATTGCTTGGCAGTGCTGCCAATGCAGGGCACAAGCCCCACAGAACTCATTTACAAGACCCTGAAAGCAGTGGCCAAAGCCTGAATATTTTGTTTGGATGCACACAGAGCAGACGCGCTCACTGTGCTCAGTGCCAGCGCCGGGACCCCTCAAGAACCACAGGGCTGTGCTGGCTGTGTGCTGCCCATTCATTGACCCCACAGCCCCAGCTCCTCCAGCACAGCCACAGACAGCAGCGGGATGTGCTCCCACCATCCAGCCCTTAATCAGCTTTCACCTGGGATTAGCTCCAACGTTTCCAGACTTGAATTCAAAATAGCTTTTCTTACTAATCCAAACCAAACGCTCCCCTCCATCAGCCTCGCCAGCAATGTTTGTTTCCCCAGGTTTGAACCTTGCCCGGTCCCTGGATTTTTCGTATCGCAACGTGGGGCCATGGGGTGCTTGGGGAGGGCAGCAGCAGGGCAGGGATGGGCACAGGGAGAACAGCAGCTCAGCACACGCTGGGCACAATAGGGCTGAGGATGCTGCAGCTGGGAGGAGGTTGAGCTGTGCCTGTGTGTGCTGGCAGCTTCTGGCTTTAGGACACCAAGCAGCACGGGATGGGATGGGATGGGACATGCAAGTGGTCACACGTGGGAATGCTGGGTGTGATGGGGCTGTGACTAAAGAGGTGGCACTGAATGAATGATGCTGTCACTGCCCTGCTAATGACCCCAGTGCCTGCAGAAGCAGCACTGCGGGTGTGGGTGCTCATCCTCACTAGGCATTGGTGCATGAGGTTGGTTTCACCTTCACACCCTGCCTGGTAGAGAAAGACTTGCAGTGATTTATGATGAGCTCACAAGGTTTGTGTTACAGCCACAGGGAATGCATGCATGGAACACCCCATGTCCAACCCTGCAGGACGTGGGCACAGCCAGGACCCCCACACTGCAGCCCTTGGTGCACCCAGACTCAGCCCCTGCCCTGGAACCTCTGCAAAAACAACACCCTTCTGAGAAAACCCTCATCCAAGCGGAAAAAAAACACCACCAGAGCCTGACAAGGAAGCAGAGCTAAATAAAAGCACGCTCCTATACTTCTCTGTTATTTCTGTAAAGCGTCCAAAACGTTGCACAGAAATTCTTTATGTTTCCATGAGGTGAGGATGAGCCCCTGGGGAAGAACTTTTATTTTTTTTTCCAACCTTTCACTGCACCCACACCAAAGTTTCCATGCATGGAGAACAAAGTGAGGAGCAGTTCCTGCCCAGGGCAGAGCCAGGAGCAGTGGGGTTGGAAGGTCTCCCCGTGGGGTTTTGTGCAGAATGGGGATTTCATGCGATGTTTCAGAGGGAGCAAAGCTTGAAGCCATTTCTGATGTGCACTGAGTGCAGCCAAGTCTCCTGGTGCCACCAGCAGAGCACTGCTCCAAACCTATGCCTGGAAAAATCCAGGGAGGCAAAGGGAATCCTCCTGTGGTGGCTGAAAGGTGACATTTTTCCCACGTAGGGCTTGGGAGAAAGGACACGCAGCCTGGATGTCATGAAGGGACACAGAGCATCAAGGACACAGAAAGAAGGGACGGCAGGGAAGCAACACACAGCATCACCCGCGTCCCTGCAGGAATGGGGACAGGGACGTCCTGGTCACTCAGCAGCCCGGCTCCAGCTGCCCCGGGTGTCCGATTGCTCTTGCCCCGGGATGAAAGGCCACAGCACTGCAGTATTTATAGCTCCATGATTGTCTTCTCCAGAAATCATTGTGGCTGTGACGGGGGCTGCCCGCGCTGAGCCGCGTTTCCCGTTATAGCCGTCCTCCGGCTGCACAGAAAGGTCACAGCAGCCCCAGGATTTCAGCCTTGGTCTGTCCTGCCATGCGTGCACCCGCTGGGCAATGGGCTGTGGTGAGCTCTCTGTTAATGAAGGAAATGCTTGTCTTGACCGGGGTGCAAAAACCACACCTGTGGCCACTTCCAGGCTGTCACAAAGAGCCCAGAGGTATGGCCTCATATCTCGGAAACACAGTCATCCTTGCGACCACATCTGCTTGTAGGTGGTGCTGTGCTTGGGGCATTGGCCTCACCAGGTTCCCCAGCTTACCTGGCCAGCTCCGGAATCCCAGAGAGCTGCAGCCACAGGGTCAGGGCACGGGGACAGAGCCTGCAGCAGCACATTGGAAACACCCGAAATAAAGTGCTGCTCCCAACCTGACCGGGGCTTCGCTGGGGTTTCAGAGCGGTGGATCAGGTCCCAGGGATCAGATGGACACTGGGAGCACCAGCACCTGCAAGAGACAACTCAGAAAGGTGTTACAGCATGTGCAGGATGGAGCAGCTGCCCTGCCATCCATAGGGACTGCTCCACAGCACACCCTCAGCCTGCACTCCCCCTGCTGAAGCACGAGCTGCTCCCCAGGTGGTGGGATACTGCTCTGCGAGCACGGCCTTCATGTGCTGAAGGGGTTTTGGTGCCAGAACTGATGGCACAGCAAGGAGTGCGGATGGACTATTTCCGAGTTAAATACACCATGTGCTCCACAGCCAACTTCTGCTGCCATCAGCCTTTAAGAATTTGCACACAGTACAGGAGGAGATGGACGCAGCAACCCAGAACAACAGCTTTAGTACTTGAAAATTTTATTTTCTCAAATGAGCACCGACACATATTGTAAATATGACAAACAATACGGCTCCCTCTAATACTGAAGAACTATATACAATGTACAAATACATGAAAAGGTGGAAACCAATGACTTGAAAACAAACAATCGCATTTATTACTGAAGCAAATGACCTGAAAGAATATGACAAAAAATAAAATTAAAATAAGATCAAAGAAATAAAAGTATACACAATTTGTAAACACGAGAGCATCAATAGACAGGCTGGTATTGGAAACACTGTCCTTTAGTTTTGTCAGCGGGGAAAGCATTCCCATTTCCTTACAAGAACAAAACAAAGGATAAATACAGTTCATAGCTACGAGAACAGCTTCTTTGTGATTGTACCACACACAGTGCCATTCTGCTTGCATTAAATACGTCCATTTCTTTTTCGAATTCACTATGATTTCTTTTTTTCCCCCTCTTTTAAACAGGATTCTTCAGCCTCTATGTGTAACATCATTGTTTCTGAGTGCTCGGCCCCCAAGGCCTGGCCCTGCTGGGAGCTCCTTCCCACCGAGCAGAGCAGAGCACACCTCCCACCCAGCACAGTGCTGTCTGTACACTCACACACCAGGCAGGAAAATGCACACAGAGAAAATCCTCACCACGAGAACAACAAGTTTCACCTGTAGGTTTTCTGGTTTTTTTTTTCCCTGTCTGTCTTTAAATGATGTGTGCCAGCATCAGAGGATCAGGGAGCGTGCAGCAGCAGTTCAGTGCTGGAAACAGCTCCTTGCTCAGCAATGCAGCCCAGCTGTGCAGGCTGTTGGTCCACTTTGGGATCAAACAGAGACCCAACGAGATAAAAACAGAAAGAGGGGAGGGGGGGGGGGGGCACAGAGACAGAAGGGAAAACAAAGAAACGAACTCTGCTGCCTGAGAGGTAAACTTGCATTCTAGTTCATTATGTAGCAGCCTGGTTTAAAAACAAAGAAAAACAAAACAAAAAGAAACTCGGGATCTGTGTCCAAAGACTTCCTTCAGTTTAAAAACAGCTCCTTACGAACCTCCAAGTGGTGATGCTGAGCTCACAGCTGATCTGTGCTCCTGCACCCGGAGCCATATGCATCCCTACCCAGCACTGCATGGGCAGCCCCCACATCCCCCCCAGCCCTCAAATCCCCCAAACCCCCACATCCCCAGCATGGGCTGCCCAGCAGGACAACATCCATGCGTGTGTTTGTTTCCCTCTCAAAGCATTTCCCAACCAATGCAGAAGGGAAGGGGATCATTTATAAACAACGAGAAAAGTGCTCGCAGGGAGGAGCTCCGAGAAAACGGCACCAAATATATTATTATTATTATTTTTAAATTAAATATTATTTACAAAAGTATACTTCACGAGATAACATGATTATTATTATTTTTTTTTTCTTCCTGCTTTGTATATATTACCATCTGGGTATTTATTACAGGGAGAGGGATCTCACAGCAGATAATCCACCCGAGCACAACCAATTTGGAACTCGGCGAAGGCTGAGCTTTGGGGCAGCGTGAGGTGATGGAAGCACAGCTCACAGGGCTGAGGCTGCCCCACATTACAGCCCATGCTTCCCCAGGGGGCATTTCTGTGGGCCACTCATGGCCCCAGCACAGGGTGCAGTCTTTGGTTAAGCTGAGCACGCTGCTTTCCATGCCACAGGGCAGCCTGTGCTGACTGTGCACAGTGTGGGCTCCCATGGGCACACACTCATGTTTTCCTATCGGGACATGAGGCCACATTCTGGGCAACGTAAATCTGTGGATGCTGACAAGACAAAGCCAATTAAAACCAGATTAAGATCTTGCCATTTTCAGGCTCGGACTGGTTGCCATTAAAAGCCTAACCCCAGGGAACGGTTAAAAACAGCCTGATTGACGAACATCATCCTTTCCTGTCCCAAATATAAGGATAAAAGCATTTGTATCTGGTATCTTATCTATAGGTGATACCAACTTAAAACCATGAACTCACGCACAGTAATTTTCTCAACCTCATATTAACAATTCTGGGGTTATCCCTTACTTCTCCTCCCAGGTACAAACAGATCCCTTCAAGGGCTGTGTATGCGGGAGACCAGGAGCTCTTTGAAGAATGCATATTACTTCCCACTAGGCAAAACCCAATCAATTGTCACAGATCAACAACCAAAGGACAGGACAAGGGGACCAGGCCAGTGCCAGTGCCAACAAGCTGGGGGGTACTGCAGAGCTCGTGATTTTTTCTGGGTTTTTACTGCTTAAGGCAATGTGGATGATGGAAGCAGAGACAATCAGAAATGAAAGCTGAAGCAACCGCTACACAACCACAACAGAAAGGGTAAAGGCAGAAGCTATCTCCGAACAGGCTAGCCACAAAATGAGCCAATTCCACCCATTCCAGCAGCCTACAGCTCACCTTCCCCTGCCAGGTGTAACAACACGCTGTCACAAAATAGTGGTTCAAGAGAAAAGCAGCTTTTGCTTCGACAGGCCAGCAGGCCGGGGCTTCGGTCCAACACATAAAGCCCACCCCAACCCATGAGCAGCATCTCTGCCCACATCTCCTTCATGAACAGCAAATGATTTCGTTGCCAGCCCCTCCACTCTGGTCCCCAGCTCACGGGATCTCGGGGTGGGGACAAGCAACAAGAGATTACAGCTCCAAAGCTTCGGTTTCATAAGGAGCTACAAACCCCTGCACAATACTCTTTCTTTCTGGATTAAGAAAGATTTCCCCCCAGTGGATTAACCTACTTGAAAGAATTCCACAAACAAAAAGAAAATTCACTCAGAGAGATAACACTAATTCGGTTCAACAGTCTTTGAGCCGTGCACCAGACAGTGGCTGGACTGCTGCAGAGCAAACTTCACATTGTCTTCTACGCCTAACGCAGCTCCCTGCTCGCACACGGTGCTCCTTCCCACCCATCACCTTGGGAAGGTCCACACTCATCGGTCTGAAAAACTTCACAGCGAAGGACTTATCCTTTGCAGTTACAATAACCACATCTACCTCTCCCACTTAGACTCCAGAGCACAATTTCGGGGTAGAGGGAAGATACTTTAGTTTCCTTTTTTCCTTCTTGTCTCTCCTGTGCCTCCAGTGGGCTTCAGGGAGTGGGAAAAGGGGGGAAGGTTTGGGGGATACCTCATGGCCTGAAATATCCACCTGTGCAATACTGCTAAACTGCCAGCTTCCTCTGCTCCCCCTTATCCCCCCTCTCACAACATCCAAAAGCAGAGCTGATGGCTGGGGCGTGAGACTGAAAGATATTCTAACAGCACTTTCCTACTTGTACTCGTGAAGGCTTGGTTAAAAAAAACCCCAAGGACACCTAGAGGAGTACAGGAAGTCAAAGGGTACCCTACGTTACTGAGTTTGTCCCCATCCTCTCCGACATAATTTCCTCTTTCTTACTTAGCACCTGCCTTCGTTTTTTTTTTTCCTGCTGTATCTTCTAAGCTCCAGCTC